AAAAAAAAAAAAAAAAAAAAGAAAAAGAAATCATCTATAATGTAAAAATCTCACAAGTTTCAAGTCTACTTTAGCTACTGTAAACAAAGCAGTTTCTGCTAGGCCACTTTTAAAATACGTAATTTCCCATTGTTTTATAGAAATTACCTTCTAGTTTCTGCCCACATAGTTTACAACCAGCTTAAGTTCTCTCCTACACAGTCAAGACAAATGTATGAAACGAGGGAACTTAAACGGCCTGTGTAAATCTAGGTGCTACAGGCAACCAAATAAAGTGGATTAGAACAACAAATGAAACTCTGGGAACTCTATAAATGCATATCATAAAAACCATTCATATGTTATAAATTATAATAATGATTTTGTCCTAAGGGAAAAAAAAAAGCACATTAAGTCATTTTGTGACTCTCTTTCTTATTTCTCTCTGCTTTCTCATATCACTAGCACAGAGAAACACTTCGATTACTTGTGTTTGAACCAGGCCCTCTTGACAAGAACAACTTTCTTGATCAACAAGGTTTGCATATTTGTCCTTAAACAAGTGGCGTGGCCAAAATAGTCAGGATTTGTCTCAAGATCCTAAGATGGCAAAAAGCTAGTCCAAAGAGAAGAGCTGCATAAGGAGACTATAACAAATCTTAGTTAATCATTTTAGCAAAACAGCTAAATAGGAATAAAGCAGATAAGAAGAAAAGAAAAATTCCACATGGGCAAAAACCTAGGCTGAAAGTTTTCAAATAAAAAAGGCAGAATTAAATTCCAAGCTAAATGCACCAGGTATAAATGGGTGCAATCCAGAGCTTACAGCACAGAACCTGCACAAAAACAGCACGCCAGGAAAGCAACCTGTACTCAGATACGAAACTTCAACAGTTCAGTATCTTCTGGAAATGAGTGTCTCAGATCTAAAAACTCCTCCTAAAATGTCGTACCAGAAGCTGTTTTTCAAAAACTTATCTGGAATATGCTTTAAAAATAACTTGATTTAATTGCTTTCACCAGATCTACTGTTACCTGTTTGTTTCCTTCTAAAATACCACATAAATATTTCTTAAGGCTTAAAATAAGTGCAGTATGTAATTAAACTTAAAGTATTTAATTACGCTGCAATAACGCTCAAGCTCCTTTATGGAGGAGTTTCCACTGGACTAAGAGCAAACATTTTAAGTTGGTGCCTGTGCCAGAGGCAGCAATCCCAGGCTGGCTCCACTGAGGCCGTCCCGTGCCAGGACTAGCACCAGGGCAGCTTTGCAGCCGCGCGCATTGGAGAAGCACAGAAGTGCTCCCACTTAAACTTCCTCAGCTTGGGGTCGCGCCGACGGACAGAAAGACGGATGAGTTTCTGCACGGGGGGCAGGCTCCATGGTGGCACCTTTAAGGACTACGGGCCAAAGCACCAGCCACTGGAGTGCTCAGTTGTTCTCCCAACTCTGTTGCTTGTCCCTTGTTTCATCTTACGTTCTTTATTTACCACCTTTGTTTTTAAGTTTGTCTGAAAAACAGATTACACCTTGCGACACCTTAGAGGAAGATAAAATCTTTACAAGCTAGTTTGGTTGTCTTAGAGTGAGCTGCTTACATGCAAAATACTATGGTAACCCAAGTGACAACTTGTCACTTGTTATAAGTGTTATCACTTATATAAGTGTTAACAACTCACTATTCTAATTAGGGAAAATAAATAAATACAGCTTGTTCCTGGAATGTAGTGGATACAATATACACTATTCCCTCAAAAACAAAGCTGCAAAAACAAAAACGAGGCTGCAAGAATTTGTGGGGCAGCTTTTGACGTGCCGGAGTACACGCCAGTTCCTTCCAGGACAAGGGTAAGCGGGAAATCCTGCCCTCGCCTGGTGTCCCACTGGCTTCTGCAGGTAGCTGTATGTGGAAAAGAGAGTTGCTTTAAGAGAGGAGCGGCAAATTCATCAACACAACCAAGCCAGAGAAAAGCTAAACCACAAAGGGTTACAAAAATAGCCAGAGCTGTTGCTGACAGAGGACGTCAGAGCAGGTGCTCAAGTGAAACACTGCCTGCGTTGGTGCTCTGCTGGGAATGAGGCATGGAAAAAGGGAAAAAAAAGGTTCCGTCTGTCCCACTTCCTTTGCACGCTCTTTGCAAAGCATCTTCACTTGGTTTCTGGGCTTTGGACTCTAACCTTATACACCCTTAACAGGAATTTCAAAGTCATTCTTCTGCCTGCAATGCAATATAAACCACAGTGCTGCATTTTCAGAGGTTTCAAGTGTTCAGTACCGAAGTACATGGAAATATTTATCGGTGTATAAACAAAAGACTCCTGGGATGATTCTAAAACTGCAGACGATCTGCTTTTTTCCACTAGCAGAATTCAAGACAGCGCAGAAATACTGACTTGGTACAAATAAAACATCTCATTTTTATTTCTCTAGACATACAGGTTGAAATTGCATCAGAGAAAATTTCGTATGCGAGACCCCTGGCCTGCACTGGTTAGACAGCAAGGTCAGTCCTATACAATGTGTGAGAAATAACAAATAAATGCAAAAGAAACAACTAGTCACACAGAGCCAGGACACAAATGCAGCAAGTCAGAAATGCAATCAGGGAGAAAATACTGCCTTATGTCACCCTGAAGCGCAGGATAGGATTCAGTCTGGGCTTGCAGACACCAGCAGAGGCAGTATAGGTTTTTCACCAAAGCTTCTTGCTTTTGCTGAGACTGAAGGGATAAGTGATAAGCCTTAAATAATAAATTGATATTACAGTCAGTATTATTGCTTAAACTGCAAATTTTTTTTTTAAAGATTACATAGATCAATATTACAGGATATGAATCCTTCTTCTCAACTGTCCCTTCTCCCTTCCCTAAAAGGGAACAGAACTGAGCACATACTGTGATTTTAAGTAACCAAACCAGTACCAGAGAAAGCAACAGCAGTCTTGAGAAGCATTTCCTTCTACCAACGCCTCCATTAAGCCGTGGGTGAGACTTATGTTTTCCCAATAGCTGAAGTTAGTCTGTGCCAAGAAACAAACCCAGGCAACCTAACAGAGTGCACAAGGGAACTGCTAGCCAAAATAAAACTGCTGTGCTAGACACACACAGTTGTTCGGGTTTTGTTTTGGGGGGCGGGTGCTGTTTATAGGAAATGTAAATCTTTTATTTCTACAAGCAAACAAAACAAAAGGCCTGACAAACAGTTCATATATAAGTGCCAAGTTGCACTGTTCTTGCACATGAACCAGGCAGACAGCAAGGCACCTGCATCATGTGCAAAACTTCTCCAGTTCAAGAACTCTGTGTGAAACGCAAGCCTGGCCGTTCTGACATTCTCCTGCACTGGTGTATTTTTTTCCCCCTCCATCTTCTAACACGGTGCATTTTCTTCTTCACACCATGCTAAGTTTCCTTGCATTTAACCTCTGCTGTTCTAGCATCTAATTTTCATAACCATTTCCCTACTAAGTTGCCTCCACAGTCTAATTTATAGCAAATGAATTGTCCCCTAGTTCTTAATGATTCTCATAATATATAGAATTACGAAGGGATGGCCAGTGCACCCCACCACTGAGCTTCACAACAAAACACTATCAGGTGAGTGAAGCACTGAGATCATGGATTGGGCCTGTGGAAAATGTGGACTCATAGCAAGCAGGGGAGCTTCAAATTTGTGACCTGTCTGAACTGGTCCCAATGTTACAGCAGTGGCCCAGGGGCCAGAGCACGAGGCAACACTCACAGAGCAGCTGGTTTCAACACCCACCTCTCCCTGCGAACTGAGTGCCGGAGGCCCACTACACTCTGACATCAACCAGTGAAATTCAGCAGCCTCATTTGTCTTCCCTCTCCAAACACTGACACTTAGCATAAAAATACCTACAAAAGGAGGTGACGGCATCAGATGAAACATTTAAATGAGGTGAACTGAGAGACGTAGTGCCCGTATTTCAAGTAATCTTATATAGATTTTACTCAGGAGATAAAACGCCCACTCCCAACAAAGACTTCCAACACTGGCAATGGATGAACAAACATGTCCAACCGTGAAATGACCCGTAAATGCTTTTCAAGGACTAACTCTTCCAGCACACCTACTTAATGTTTACTTTCCGAATTAACCAACTTTGCTTGCCGTTGAAGCATTAATTCCCCAGACCAGTTAACTGTTAAATCCATGAAAACCACAAAATTAAAAAAACAGTGAGTGTTGTCTTATGAACTGGGTGTC